TGGCATTCTGTTATAGCAGCCCACACTGACAGAGGCAGATGCCTAGCACAGTACCACTGTCATCACCCCACAAGACTTTAAGGTAAGAACACTGTTTTTCAGTGTGAATCCTCTGTTCTCACAGACTGACAATAAGGTTACTGCCCTACAACACATGTCTACCCCAATCCTTGAACCAAAATGCTCTCCTCACAATCCTCTTTGGCCATCAGAATTCACCCAGCTTGGCCCCACTATCTCTGCAAGGGACTCCTTGACCACTGTGATTCCTCTCCTCTGAGGTCACATCACCAGTGTCAGCACACTTACCAGGTGCTCCTTCTGACTTCCTGGTTTTTGTGAATGAAAATGCCTGATCTCCCCAAATGAAATCCAAGCTCTTTTAGGGCAGGAAGTACTCCGACACCCTGGACTCCCTGGAGCGCCCCGCGAATAGCAGGAGCTCATGTTTTCCAGCCTTCACGGGGCAGATCCTCAGTGGAGCTCAACCATTGTCTCTCTGACCCTTGTTGGCCCCCTTTCCTCTTTCTCTTTCAAAGCTATTCTATTTGCCTCCAGATGCCAGCTCTCTTTAGCTCCAACAAGCTCAACTGTCAACTTGCCATCCTACTTTGAAAAAGAAAAAAAGAGATCGCTCCAAAATGAAGTTCCCCCAATTCCCTACTCCCCTCCAGCTTTCTTAATAACCCAGCTTTTCCAAGCTTTCTTCTGTCCTAGAGGAAAACTGTCCCCACCTCCTCTTGTCCAAGGATAATTAGTCTCTGTTGGAAGGTCTTTTTTTTTTGTTCTTTTCATCCTCACCCAAGTATATTTTTTCCATTGATTTAAGAGAGAGCAGAAGGGAGGGAAGGAGGGGATGGGGGAAACATTGATGTGAGAGACACAATGATTGGTTGCCTCCCGTACGTGCCTTGACTAGAGCTGGAGATAAAACCTGCAACCAAGGTATGTGCCCTTGACAGGGAATCGAACCAGCAACCCTTCGGTGTGTGGGACTACACTCTATAACCACTGAGCGACACCAGCCAGGGTTCTCTTGGAAGGTCTTAACTCTATCCCTCCTCCAGAATCCTACTCCTTCAAATCCACCCTGTTTCATCTGAATGCACTTTCCCCAGGTATTACACACAGACTTCCCCTTCCAACTATTGTCTCCTTTGTTTTTTTTTGTTTTTTTTTTTTATCCTCACCCGAGGATTTTTTCCATTTTTTTTTGTACAGATAGAGTGGGAGGGAGAGAGAGAGAGAAACATCGACATGAAGGGACACATCGAGTGGCTGCCACCCGCACGACCAACCAGGGCCGGGGACAAACTGCAACCGAAGTACGTGCCCTTAGCGGGAACCGAACCCGGGTCTCTCCGGACCGCAGGCCGACGCTCTAACCGCTGAGCCAAACTGGCCAGGGCTCCTTTGTTTTTCAAAGCAGTAGCCTATATTACTAACCCCATTTCCTCACTTTCCAATTCCTCTTCAGTTTACTGTAATCTGGCTTCTGTACCTCAAATGCCCCTAGTAACCTCCAACCAACCAAATCCTAGGCTCTGTCCTTGTCTTCTTCTATTTGTGTAAATGACTCAAAAATTGCACCTCCTTTTTTACCTCTCTTCTAGACTCCCAAACTGTAAAAACTATCTACATGACCACCACCAGCCCCCAAATCAGGTCTCTCCTCCTGCATTCCTTATCTGACGACATCACTACCTAACAGTCATCAAAGCAAGGCACCTCACAGTGACCCTCAACTCCTCCCTCTGCTCTGCATTCAACCAGTGGCACTTCTATGAACTCCACCTCCAAAATGTCTCCAAATCTCCTCTCCTGTCCATGCTCACACCACTGCCGTAGTGCAGGCTTTTTTTAAAAAACAAATTAACTTCAAAGGGCGGGGGGGAGAGGGACGGAGAGAGAGAGTGAGAAATGTGAGAGAAACATCAATCAGTTGCTTCCCGCATGTGCCCTGATGGAGGATCGAACCCACAACCTGGGTATGAGCCCTGACTAGGAATTGAACCTGCCATCTTTTGGTGTACAGGACAACACTCCAACCAACTGAGCCACGCCAGTCAGTCCATAGTACAGGCTTCTAATCTTCTTTATACAGAGTGGTACCTTTCCAACAGGTCTGCCAGCCTTCCAGAGCTAGACTTCTGCTGAAAGCAAAGTGATCAATAAAAAAAAAAAAATACTGATCTGATCATTCGTTTCTTCAATAAAAAATAACCACTGAGTGCATATTATGGACTGGCACTGTTTGGAGTACTGGAGGTATGTACATAGAGTGTCTCTTCTTATGGAGCTTACATTAGAGAGAAAAAGACAATATAGGTATGTGTACATACAAATGTATGTATGTATATGTCAGGTGGTAATACCTAATGCAGGAGATGGGGAATACGGAGTGACAAGGCGTGTGCTTTATATAAAGTGAGGTCAGGTAGACCCTTGAGAGCCATGGTAAGGACTTTGGGGTTTAGTCTGACTGGCAGGTGAATGCCAATAGAGAGTTTTGAGCAGACAAGTCAAATGATCTCACCTATGTTTTAAAAAGGTCACCCTGCTCTGTGGACATAAGACTGAGGGAGGCAAAGGTGAAGGGTGACAGGAGGTTCTCACTTGAGTCAATACTAGAAATGGTGGCAACTGTAGCTGGGCAATGGCAGTGCAGACAACAGACGTATTTCAACCATAGACTTAACACGTTTTGCTGACAGACTGAACAGGACTGAAGATAAATAGAGGATTCTAGGATAATTCTAAAGTTTATGGGTTGAGTAACAGGAAAGATGGGGTCACCATTTACAGAGATCTGGGGAAGAGTTTGGGAGGCATGGGTTAGGAAATGGAGTAGAAGGGGTGAAAATTAAGAGGACCGATTTGGACATGTTAGGATTAAGTTGTGTATTCGAGTGAAAATATGTGGACAGCTAGATGTTCATGAGCAGGACTGAGTTGGAGATACAAATTGTGGAGTCATCAGTGTGTAAGTGATAGTTAAACTCCTGAAATTGGGTTGAGATCCCTTGAAAAGTGACATATGAATCAGAAAAGTATCTCTCTCCAAGAAGAAACTGATATCATCTGAAAAATCTTTAATACATTCATTGAGGAATAAACACTTGAGATTCTCTTTAGTTCTCTAAGAAGCAGATATAGGATTTGTCTCATTTCCATTTTGCAAAATAAGTTCCAGATACTAAAAGCACTAAAATCCCCTAGTAACAGAGAAAAATGGGGCTTCAATTTAAGACTCTCACTTGTATATGAGACCTACATTTCAGAATCACCTTCTTGTTCTTGGTTAACACTAAAATGTAGTGTTACATTGAATAATAGAAACAGTGTGGTACCCAATGGCATATGAACGCACAGAAAGACCAATGGAACAGAGGAAGAAGTGCAAAGTAGGCTTGGGTACAGAAAAGATATGTAAAGTATAGTAAAGGTGGCTTCTAAATTCACTGGGGAAAGATGAGTTTTTAAATAAATGGTGCTGGGACAACAGCCACTTATTTATGGAAACTAGATCCATACCTCTTACCATACACTGAAATTAATTCCACATGGATCAGAGATCTAAATTTTAAAAGTTGGATTTAGGGTATGGTTGTATTCCAATAAAGCGATCTATGAAAAGAGGCAGCTAGCCTGTGGGCCACAGTTTGCTTAATATATGGAAACAGAGAAGGATAAAGTTTTTAATTTATTTATCTATGCTTATGTTTTATAAAAAGAAGTATAGAAAGGATAAACCAGGAATAAATAAAGATGGATGGGAATGAGGTGGAGGAAATTAGGATGGGAATGAGACATCTCTGAGTATATCATTCTATACCATTTGACACAACAAGTATACATTATCACCTGTTCTTGCCAAAAACCATTAACTTGAATCTAATCATGAGGACTCAACCTGAGAAATCTAGAATGTGAGACATTCTAAAAGAAAACTGGCCTGAATTCTTTAAAAAAGTCAATGTTTTGGGTGGAGGTAGCAGAGAGACTAAAAAAGGACAGAACTACCAAACAGAACATATGACTGATGATTGGCTCTTGGAGCTATAAGACCTTTTTGGAACAACTGGGGATGTTTAAATTAGATATTAAATCATTATGAAATTTTTAGATGTGATAACGACACTGTGATTATTTGGAGGATGTCCTTCATCTTTCAAGATGCATCTTGAAGTCTCTAGAGGCAAAATGTCATGACAACTGCAACTTGTTTGCAAATAATTCAAGGGGAAAAAGAGTGTGTGTGTGTGTGTGTGTGTGTGTGTGTGTAGAGAGGCTGGGAGAGGAAGGAAAAAGGAAGGGGGAATGAATTAGAAAATAAATATTTTTGATAGTGCTGTTTTGAAGGCAACACCTGCTAAAGGAAATTCTGAATAAGAGTATTCTTTAGAAAAAAAATTCCCTTCCTGAGTATATCTTAAGTCGTTAAACTGGATAGTTGGGCAGTTCACTGATGTAGTAAATACTTTTTTGGTTTAACTTTCACCTAAAACTTAGTGCAAGAAATTAAAGACCAAAATGATTTGTAATTTAGCAGTTACTAACAAGCAATTCCATTCTGTTTAGAAAATTACGCTAAGAACAACACAGAATGCTACAATATGGATGAACTTTGAAAACATGCCAAGTGAAAGAAGCCAGTCACAAAAAAGATCACATCATGTATGATTCCATTTATATAAAATGTCCAGAATAGGCATAGAGACAGAAAGCAGCCTGGTGGTAGCCTAGGGCTGGGGAGTTAGGGGGACATGGGAAGTGACTGCTAATGGGTACGGGTTTCTTTGGGGGGGGGGTAATAAAAATGTGGTGATCACAGCACAACTCTGCTACTATACTAAGAACAAATGAACTGTACACTTGAAATGGGTGGATCATAAGGAATATGAATACATCCCAATAAAGCTGCTATAAAAATTAAAAGAACAACATAGGAGCAAAACACCCAAACCCACCCTGCCCACCCTCACCTCCCATGAGCTCACTTTGAAGCCTTCATAGATTCATCTGCCCAGCCTCCTTGCCGGCGGGGTGGTTTGGGAGGGGGAGCCTACAAGGAAAGAGAAGCCAAAACAACAGTCACTCAACATGTGCACTCAAGCAAGCAGTGGCTGAGGTTAAGGTCACCTAACCCAACGTTCAACCTATCAAAACCTTTCAAATAAAAATACAGTGAGCTTTCAATTCACTACAAAAATCTGGGTGCTTTCATACCTTCTGGTGGGTATAAACTGGCAAGTTCTGGAGGATAATTTGGCAATGTCTACTGGAAGCCTTAAAAATAAATGCTCATACTTTTTGAGCCAGCAATTCTAATACAAGGAATTTATCCCAAGGAAATAATCAGAGAGAAACATAATGTCATTTTTGAATAGTGAATACATAATTGAAAACAACCATAATAGACAACAATAGGAATTAAGTAAATCATGGAATACACATGTGAAAATACTACGCAATAATGAAAAACTATATTAAAAAAGAATGATATGAGAAGGTGCAATAAACATGTTCAACAGTAGGTATATGCTTCTAATTTTGTGAAAAGATGATTAAAACCTAATATCTAATGTTAATTAGCTCTCAGTCCATAGGTGAAGGGACTCGAGTGACAGAATTATGAGAAAGTTTTGTATTCCTTCTTTGTACTATTGGGCATTTTTAAAATTTTTAAATAATCAACTTATAATAATAAAGTAATAAAATGAAGACATAAGAGAAAGGCTTGCTTAAAAGACATAAACTGAACCGGTGGGTTAAAAATCTAGTCAGGTTATTTGGGCAGGAAGCAGTCATCTGCAAGCGCAGGAATTCTCATCTGGCATATCTCAACTAACAATCCCAAAGGAACATCAAGCAATCCACTCAATCACTCAAGTGGGGTAAAACAGCAAAGAATTTCCTATTCTGAATTACCCAGCATTTACCTAGGTATTTTTTCAATTACTTGCCCCCCCCCCCACCCCAAATTCACATAATCCTAACTGTTGTTCTCAGTCTAAGGAGACTTAGATAAATGGACTAACACAGGGGTTGGCAAACTTCTTCTGTGAAGGGTAAGTGGTAAATACTTTTTATTTTGCAAGCCATATAGTTTCTGTTGCAACTCCTCTACTCTGATACTCAGAGCAATAAATAGCCACAGATAATAAGTAAGCGAATGGGTGTAACTGTTCCAATAAAACTACAAAAATAAGCAATGGGCCAAATTTGGCAGGAAGGATATGGTCTCCAGACCCGTGACTAAAATGTGTCAGTGCAACGTCCTTTAAATCTGTTGCTTAAGGCCTCACATAACTTTTTAAGAAAACACTCCCTAACATGCCAGAATACCTTTATACTTTTGATATTGTTATTTTTGCACCAAGGTATGTTTTCTTTCCTGCTTCTGTAGTAGCACTGCCATGGCATCCCAGCTGCCCGAGGACGTGCTCCATCTAGACACTGGGTCTTTCTGTGGGGTGAGGCAGAACTTGCTGGATGACTGACTGAGAAGCAGCTGAGTCCCAGAATGCCTGTATCTACCTTAGCTCCTGGAAATGTAAGTAGTTCTTGAGAGACAACAACCTTGACTCTTCTATGGTAGAGAAGGTAATGGAACTATCTGGAGGCTCTGTACATCTCAGTTAGAAATGACAAAAATACGGAAGTAAAAAACAAGCTATTGTTTGTCTGTCTCAGGAGAGAAATCCAAAGAGGATGTACCAAGAGATCCCTATCATCACTTCCCAGTCCATACATCCTTTTTTGTGTACCCACTACACTCCACACTTGCCATCCCTAGGCTGGAAGGGGAAGCCTTAAATGCTCCCATCCTTTTTCCCTAGACACAGCTGAGTGAACCAGCCTGACCCAATTGGAAACAATGAATCCTCTATCCCAGGAATCTGGAGTTGAAGTTCAGAGGTTAGGCTGCTCAGACAACACTGAAACTGGAACTACAAGGACCACCTGGAATAAGAGAAACCCAACTACCACCAGCAAAGTTGTGTATAAGCAGAGACCAAGAATGTTGTCTTATTGAGCTCTTACCATTGGTAACAGGCTGTGTTAGGGAGACTTAAGTGTTAAGGAGAACTGAACTGAACCATAGCAGAACCTTCAAGGATGTTTTTAGATCAACTGTCTATAAGCCATCTATGTGCTTTTGCAAATAACACCTATATTTCATTATCCAAGAACAGAACCACTTTGTGATAATAGGAATTCCTGACTCTAAAGGTCTCAAACTTGTAATCACATGTTTTGTTGGGCCACACTGTGGTTTTGTTTGTTTTTTATTTTAAAGTTAAGCTTCCATTTAAAAAGTCTGGCCTGAGTTGTCACTTTGTCTACTGATATAGATAACACCTGGTTAATAAAATTTCCTAAAATTCAAAACCAAAATGATCTTTATATTCTTTAACTGCAAACCCCAGGAAGCCATGGCTATTGGAAGGACGAGTGAAATCCTTTCCACTTACAGATAACACAGACACCTTTTTCCCCTTATTATTCCTATTACAAAAAGGTACCAGCTGCTAAACTAGGACAGCAGCTTCAAATGTAGACCAAAGGGGGTGCCACAATAACTCTTATCAGAAAGTAACCTCACAGGGTGATCTAATCATAAATTCCTCCCTGGGCAGGTCATGAAGTGCCAGAAGCAATCCTCTTTTCCGAGGCTAACCACCCTCAGGAAAGCATGTAATCTTGTCAACTATCCTGTACCTTGCTTTCTCCCTCCTCCATGTAATCTTCCTTGTGTTCCCTCCTTAACTCTAAAAGTATAAAAGAAACTACAAAACTGTTATTCTCGCCCTGGCCGGTTTGGCTCAGCGGTTAGAGTCAGCCTGTGGTCCAGAGAGACCCGGGTTCGGTTCCCGCTAAGGGCATGTACCTCGGTTGCAGTTTGTCCCCGGCCCTGGTTGGGTCGTGCGGGTGGCAGCCAGTCGATGTGTTCCTTTCATGTCGATGTTTCTCTTTCTCTCTTCCTCTATCCCCCTCCCACTCTATCTGAACAAAAAATGGAAAAAACAAAACAAAACTGTTATTCTCTGGAACATCTGAGATCTTGATTCCCGGCAACTGTCATCAGTTTGACTCAAATAAATGCTTATAAAAATTCTCTACCAGTTTGGACGTTCTTACATTGACAAACACAAAAAGATCACCACATAGCAGTCATCCCTCCCCATTCAACAGAATTGACTAGTTCCAAAATCAAAGGGTTTTTTTTGTGTGTGTTTTTTTAACACCAGTGACCAAAGACTTCACAATTTGTCATATGTTGTAAAACTGTAAGCTCCTTTTCATTGAGAGCACCTGAGAGAGAGAGTAACAAAGAAATTCTCTGCACAGTATGGGACAGGATTATAGCTGTCCTCCTTGCTCCCCAGTGGGAGTCTTGGCCAACCTCAGAGAGAACACTGAGGCAGACGGGAGATGGGAAGGCAGGCAGAACTTAATGTCTAAGTTAGGCCTTGGGCATTTAGTGGAAGATGTCTCTTTCCTCATGGGGAATCCTTATGTTCATGATTGAGCACTCTGAGTCCAAGGATAAAAATTTCTTTTGTAAATACTCTACCACAAGTCTCATTAATTGCCACATCCAGATACCCTGTTTGGATGAGACAGACTTAACCAACCACTATTACCAAGTTTTAAAGGCTCTCCCCGAGCGTTCAACTGTGTTCCCTTCATGGGGAGCTGTCTAATGCATTGCACCAGGTGAGTTAGAAAAAGCAGGACTTCATCTCTGACCTCAAATGTTGCTCCACTCAGTGAGGTTGAGGCAAGGCAGAATTCAGAGTGCATAGGACTGTTTGAAATCTATGTGATTAGACATTAGGCTTAGTCTGAAAATTAAGAGACCACAGTGGAGGCAGGAGAGAGGTATCAGGGATGAAGGTACTGAGAGTCCTTCCATGGAGAGGCTGCATTCAGGGTCCAAAGGTGAAATTTTTATCCTTGGACTCAGAGTGCTCAATCATGAACATAAGGATTCCCCATGAGGAAAGAGACATCTTCCACTAAATGCCCAAGGCCTAACTTAGACATTAAGTTCTGCCTGCCTTCCCATCTCCCGTCTGCCTCAGTGTACTCTCTGAGGTTGGCCAAGACTCCTCAGCCATGGGGTAGCCCCACTGAGTTCTGCAGTTTCCTTGTCACTTTTGCTAGTTTTTTTTCCCCTCACCCAAGGACATTTTTGCATTCATCTTTCAGATAGAGCAAGAGGGAGGAAGAAAGAGAAAAAGAAGAGAAACATCAATGTGAGAGAGACAAATCAACTGGCTGCCACCCACACGACCCCAACCAGGGCCGGGGGCAAACTGCAACCGAGATACGTGCCCTTAGTGGGAACCGAACCCGGGTCTCTCTGGACCACAGGCCGATGCTCTAACCGCTGAGCCAAACCGGCCAGGGCTCTTTTGGTAGTTTTTATTGGGCCACTTTCTCTGGGGGCATCACTAAGACAGTGTGCTCTGACAACATGAATAAACTTGTAATATATAACTGAAGGCTAAACAGACTTGTACCAGCTTGGGAAGTGCTGAGAAAAAGGAAAGGTCAAAGAAGCTTTATAGGAAAAGTGAGGCTCATCCTGGATTGGAGAGATAAGAAGAGGTGATAAGAAAGCATTTCAGAAGCAACCAGATACAAAGTGCAAGATAGCATATAACACTCAGGCTGTAGCAAATGCTGCTCACTGATCATCACATTGGAGGGGTCTCTGGGCAAACTCTTTGGGGGTACAACAAGCTCTTCAGCATCCATCACTTTACAATGCAGGCTGGCCATAAGTGGAAGATCACGTAATTTGATCATATTGATGTAGTTTGAACTTACGTGCAAATGATCTGTTTGAAATGTAAGCAAATGACTGGCTTTTAACAATATAATTTAAAGGGCCTGGTGGGTTCTCTTGCATGGACAGTTCAGCTCCTGAATGCCTGGCTGCTTTCCCTCAGAGCCATGATGACATCTAAATACCTAGTTGACCCTGTTTCAAAAAGAGTTCCAAGGCTCTCTCCCCAGGAGGATCTGAAACAGAGGACACATGCCTAGGCC